TGCGGGATGCTTTGGGTGGTGTGTCTGAGGAATTCTTAGGCTATAATCTTCTACTCTTCTATAACTTTTGAACTAAAGTGACAATGGGTAGCATAACTTTTTCTAGTGACCACCCTTTAAATTAAGATCTCTTTACCCTGAGTCTGTGGGGACACTTCTCACTGAAAGTGTAGGCAGAACAGCAGCATTTTTGTAGGATCATATCTTGTTATCTCTGCCATGCAAGTAAAAGTGCTTGTGGCCCTATCTAACATTTCTATGTCTTGGTGGAACTGCCTCGGTTTAATGGGATGGTTAGGAGACCCTTCTTGCCTTTCTCTTAGCCTTTCTAAATATGTTGTGTATACTTACACAACTGTTAAAAAGGACTTCTCTTGTCAGGTCCTGTGAAAAGGATAGTATAAACTCTGCTCCATTTTTTTGAGATACTGCAACTTGTAGTGATTTGCACCATTTAATGCTTGCTTAGATTTTTTTTTTTTTTCAGAGTCCAGAAAAGAAATTAATTTAAAGGCAATGGGAAACCAAATCTGGCTGTAAACCAATTACAGTGTAAACCCAGTTGATATCCATCCCGTGGTGCCCATGTAATAGGCTACTCTGGGTCTCATGTTGAAAAGTGTCCTCTAACGCTTGCAACATCATGGTTATGTGACTGAAGAGACAAAGGGGAGAATGGTAGACTTTCTCATCTCTGTAGTGATCTGCCCTGAAATGAAGAATGGAGGCAGGTGTTTGCCTAGGAGTCCTGCTTTAAACAGTCAAGTCCAAGAATGTTTCACTAATCTCCTTTTTTTTCTAGGAGAAAATTATTTCTTTAATAACAGTTTGTGTACATGGTGTATGGTACTCCATCTGATTGAAACAGAGTTCTGCTCCATTTGACAAAGAAAAGCCAGATTAGACTGTGTCAAGAAGAGTAAACAGTTTTGGGGAATGTGGCATGCTTTTGATGATTCACTTAGCCACACTAAATTACTAATTAAGTGAGGCTCCCATTCAGAATTCTCTAGAGCTGTGCCTCTTTCTGCATTGATTGTAAAGACAGACTGGTTTGGAGTTAGCCTGTGTAGTTTCCTTGGTGAGCCTGGGAAGGCCAGTGCCTCATACCTGGTATTTCACGTTTCTTCTAGACCTTGTGTCATTTGTCTTGCTGCTTATAAACAGAATCTAAACATACTGTGGCCTTTCCAGGGAGAGTAGGACTGCTTACACATGCAGGAAATATAGGATTCTGTGTCAGTGATACCTGGTTTGCTTCCCATACTTCAGAAAGAGAGGAGTTTGTACATGTGGAAATGGAGGAGCTATCCAGAAAGTGACAGCATCAGTAGCAGATCTCCAATAATAATTCTCCACAGTGATGGTATTCAGTGCTCTCTCAGAGGGAAAAAGACAGATGGGCTACAGCTGAGCCCCTCACTGTACCTTAAACTTTTCTTGTTGCTTTTGCATTACATATAATGCCTGTTGCATTACACATGCCTGGACACCCACCCAGGACACTACTGTGCCAAATATTGTATTAAAACACAGTAAAGTCATCCCTGCTCTAAGATTTTACTGTATTTTCTTAAAGCAGATGAGAGTGGAAGCAAGCAGATACGATTTTTATGTTGATGTTTAGAATGGCAAATGCTGGGAAGTTTTGGGTTCAGCATATTGAATAAAAATATTATTTGTCAGTGGTTTTATTTTAGGATGTGAACCAAACAGATAATTCAGTGAGACACTTATAAAGGTGCAAAGTATAAATGCTGTGGGCTTATGAGGAGGTTATGTATCTGTAAGAGGCATATATTTGTGTCATCTGGGAACCTTTGTCTTGGAATAATCAGTTTACATTCATGGCAAATGTCTCTGGCACATTCTCTCTTATCACTGCCTCCATGGTCAGGCTTCCTTGAGTGGACTTGCTTCTGAACTGTCCATCAGACACCTCTCTGCATTCATACCACCCTTGTTGCCATTTCTTCTGGTTTCTTCCTCCTCCATGCTTTCCTTCCCGTAATCCACTGCTCTCTTTTTCTGTTTCATGTTCTCCACAGGTGGCATCTTTATTTTTTCTTCTTGGCTGTTTACTGTTTTATCCTTCTTTGGTGCTTGGAGGACAAACTACTGTATTTTGTTACCAATAGCTAGCCATAAGCCTGTTCTTAACAGAGGGAGCCAGTAGGAACATAGAATGTGTCCAGGGCATGTCTTTGTGGACTGGATTAGCTGTGCAGTTTGCTGTATTATTTTCTTGGACGTGGATCAGTTAATGTTAATTTAGAAATGGTATAGTCTCAACTGTGATCTAAACCAGCTAAATTGCTCAGAGTGTCACTTGAGATGTTTGCTTCCTATGCAGGAGAATTCTTCTGCTAATGTGCCCTTTTGTGGATGGTTGTCTAGATGTCTCAGTCTGGAGAGGCTTGTTTTTAGTGCCGTGTGCTCTCTGGAGAGTTTATTTTCAAATTAGCAACAGTCGTCTAAAATGCTGCAGTGTTAGGATAGAAGGAATTAAAATGTTTAGTAATCCTCTAAAAGGGTAGATTGAAAAAGTATATTTGTCTCTTCTATTCTCTAAGGCTAGCTGATAGTGCTGGTGAAACTATGTTCTAGAAGACTACGTGTTTACTTCATAATTTTCTTCCTTAAAACTCCTCTAGTTTGTGGACATTCCCAAAGTGAAATATTGTCAAAACCAAATATTTTGTTTCGTGAACTGCTGTGTACAATATTTCATTCTCTGCTATAAAAAGATGACTGACTTTCATCTGTGATGAATTCTGCCATCATAAGGTAAGCTGCATCTTGAGATAGTTGCTTTGGAACTGTAACACCCATGAAGCAGTAAGGTGCTATTACACAAGCAAAGTAACTTTACTTTTCTGAGGAGAAGCATTTTGTAAGTCTTCCTTCTTTGTGCCAAAAACCTGCGGACTTTACTATTTACCTCTGCCAGAAAATTTAAAAGAAAATGTTTTTCAAGAGGTCAGATTTCCTTATTGTGTTGCACTCCTGCAGCGTTGTAGTGGGTCTAGTTTGTATAATTTTCTTTCTTAATCTGCAGTCTTTAGATGAGATGTGTCACTTCAACAATTACACTTAACAAAGTTATTGTATTCATTTGAAATCATACAATGCCACTGATAGATGATTAATCAAATGTTGCAGAATGTCACCTCCAAATGCAAGGTTGTCTTTTTGAATGCAGCTAGTGGGCATAGCACTTTGGTTCTAGACTTTTAAGAAAGCAAGGAATTTCAGAAAAATGAAGTACAACACAGCTGAAAGAGTAGTGAAGACAGAGGAAAGGACAAGATGCTGGAGTAGGTTCAAGATACATAGGCCAGTGTCTTGCTGCACAGTAGCTAGTCTCTGTTCCTTTTCCTGTTGGTGTCACAACTGAGGTGGATCTTGAAAGGAAGACTCTAAAATTGACTGTGAACAAAGTGCTGTGAGTTGAACACAGTAAATTAGGATGAGTGTTAATTTCTTCTGTTGGATTTGAGGATGAATTGCCTTACAATGTTGTATTAATTACCACAGATTAGGAAATGATTCATAAGAGTGGGTAGCTGAGCATGGTCCTTTTAACAGCTGTCTTAAGTTAGATTGATTTATTTACTAGAATTGTGCTTCATTTGCTACAAGTGCAATTGCAAATGCTCAGTTTTAATTCCTATGACTTGACTGAATGGAGTCCTGACACCTGACACAAGAAAGAATGCGAGCAGCCTTCAGCCTGTCTACAGACACTTTGACTTTTATTTAGAAAGGTTTCTTTACAGTGGTATGGGCTAGAAGGCGTTTTCAGTGCTATAAATTAAATACTAGGCCATGTAACACAATCATAACATTTAGTGCTAAGTTATACTGCATATTGCACAAATTTATTGGGGTTTGCGGCTTCCTTCATCATGTAGGCTCCACTATGGAGGCAATATACTTAATAAGTATCAGGGAATCTGAGAGCAAGTAGATTCTGTGATCCTGTTTACAAATGCAGTAATGACTTAAAATATATAATATTAAAATATATTTTTCAAATTATAAAAAATTGTGTTCTCCTGTTTCCCCAAGTAGCAATGCAGAAGGTATTAGTGTTCCCATTTGGTGTGATAGCACCTACTGTGCAAAATGCAAGTTGCTGTGACATATTGGAGTTTATGCCACAGTTACGTACAGCAAATGCATGCAATGTCTATGGAGTTTCAGTCGTGACAGCAAAATCTTTAGGTGGCAAGAACAAGGTCGTGGGTGTGAAACTGACTTGTGTACAGCAGTCCATGTTGTGGAAGGGAATGCTTGGCAGGTGTTAACTTTTTATAAACTTAGAATATTGTGGTACTACAGAAAAATTCTCCTTTCTGTGAAGGTCTTAAAAATGGTGGAGGTATGAACCCTGGCCATGCTGTGTTCAAAGGGTCTTTTCTTTAGAGGTGGAGGGAGAAAAGCCATGATGGACTGACCAGGCTTTTGGTAAGCATGTTTTAATTTGTGACAATTTACTAGAGTGCTGAAACTGAGCAGCAGCCCATTGCTAGAGCATGTCCTCAACTGCAGTTATATCTTTGAATGGTTATGGGATGCTAGTGGTGGAAGTGAGATGTGACTTGACTTCTCTCCCAGACAAGGCCCTGACCATAAGGAGTTAAAACTTGAAGAGGAATGAACTGAGGTCAAGCATCACAGTCTGTGCAGTAAATAATTTTCTTTGTATACTGACTTCATTCTTTCACATTTTTTCATTTGCTCCACTTACTCTTTTCCCTTCCTAAATGCACAAACATGCACACATGCAATTTTTCTGGCATTATTTTTCTCTTGCCCTAGTTATCACCTTCCAATGGCCAATTGTCACTGTGACCCACCCTCTGGCTAAGGGAGCTGTAGATGATAGGTTTACTGTGAAAGAACCACCCTCAATCTGGGATGGACACCTATGTTCAGTTTAGAAGATGCGAGGCTGTTTTCCAGCTGCTCTTGTGAGCCTGCTTGCTCTGAGCACTGCAGTGGCTATACAGAATGCAGTGCACAGGAAGCAAAACGCCGTTCAGCCAAACACAGAAGAATTAAGAGCTGTTGCCCACCTTTCCCCCCTTTGATGGCAGGCTGTGAGCTCCTGGGTGAGTGAACATCTGGTGCGTGACATGTGTTGTTCCAAGATTGGAGGGGAAATCCATTAAATAGCTGTGCTGTTACTAAGAATTTGGGTGAATGCAGGATGAAGCATTCATTAATGCTGGAGCCTGCAAAACATAGCAGGCTTTGATGCTAGTGCTTGGACATGAGGCTTTGAAAAGAGAGAAGGGTTTTAAGGGTTTGTATCTGAGCATCCACAGAAACCAGCTAGAGGGAAAAGTAGGATTTTGGGGGTTGAATGACCTTGAATGTCTGCTCCAGTGAAACAATGCATGTGTGGCTGGCATTTAGGAAAATATTTTCTGGGAGGCCCTTTTGTTAGAGGGGGGCAATTTAAATGTCCTGCATCTGTTCAGAGATCCATTTTGATTTTTCAGTGAAAGTGTAATAGCAGCTACTTGCCACCCTTTGTATGTGGTCTTGTAAGTGCTCCTGTTCCCAGGGTCCTGAAAGATGTGCTGAATCTCTTTTTGTGGGCATTAAATTGACTTTTAAAAGCCCCACGAATAGGGTGAAATAGCTGCTTAGCCAGGCATACTGTAACAGGGCAGACAGTCCATGTATAATCATAAATATATATTTTTGGATTGGGGGGAGGGCTTTGGGTCTGCACTGCTTAACAATGTACAGTCTAATAATTTGTGCCTGCTGTTGGAGCGCAGCCTCTGTTCCTTCCCTTTCCCTTAGGGCACTGTTGTCTTGTTTCATTCTTCTGAGATTTTTGTGCTTTTCATTGTGTTTTCTTAAATAAAAAGGCAACTCTAGAAACAAACAAACAAAATTCCTTTCTTGCTTGACTTGTGCTTTTCACTTATAAAAATGATTTTTATAATGATTTTTTCCCCCTAGTATGGCAGCATTATTAAAACCAGGACTTTTCTCAGCTAAGCTCTGTTATGGCAGAGCCAATGAGGTAAAGTGAATAAAGTGCTTGCTGTGAGAGCTGTGTTTTGGCCCCTTGGATTAAATATTGATGGTAGCCAAGTTACAGATCTGAAGATACTAAATCAAGACAACTGTTCATTGTTCTCTAAACAGACCTTAGATCCAGCTTTCCTTTAGCTACATTGTTCAGTGAAGTGCATTCCTTTTCAGTAAATAGACAGGCTTTAAGGCCCTCAGGTTCTTTAAATCTGAAACAATAGAAACAGTCATTAAAGCTACATACAAAAGGAAAACAATTACAAAGGGGGGGATTTTTAGGAGTGTCTTAGTGCCCTTACTTCCAGCCGCTTGTGGTGTGGTGTGGTTTTTTTTTTTTTTTTTTTTTTTTATCGTCTTCTTGTCACACAGCACAGTTGTCTTGGTGTGTATGAAGAGCAATCAGAAAACTGAGCTGGGTTTAAAAATAGCCTTGTTGGAATAAAAGATAGTGAACCCGGTGAGGTTTACTGTGGGGTCCTGGAGCTGTCATAATGGCATTACTAGTCAGGTGGGGGATAGTTTGGTGGTGAAGTGCAGAGGGGCTGTTGTCAGTGTTACTTGGGGTAGGGGGGAAGGATAGTGAATGACAAAGAAAAGGTCTTGCTTGATGGTTTTGTGTTTGAGAGGACATACTTGATACCTGTGGAGAAAAGGGAGGAACACTTTCAAAATAAGTGTTAAAAGGCTATAGCTTCTATGAAAGAGGCAACAGATGTCAGTTAATAAAGGAGAGAAAATACAGCTAGTGGTTAGATGAGGTGCCATAAAATCACAATTTCTGTTGAACCATTGTTCTTATTTTTTTGGTGTAAGGTTTTGATTCCTAAGTTTGTATTCTGACCGTGCTGTGTGTTTCTAGGGCCCCAGAGAGATGGATGGAGCAGTACTTCTGAGAGAAAGTAGTTGTTCTGTTAGCTGCTGTCTGCTTTCCCTCTTAGCTCAGTTAACTTCTTCAGGTGTGCTTGTGCACTTGTGAACATGGTCACTTCTGCCTATATCAACTGGTTTTATAATGGAAAAGTACATCTTCCTGTACATGACCTCATAATATTTGTACTAGCAAAATATATGCTACTTGCTCATTCTTAATTACCATTCAATATGTGAAAAACTTGAGGCTTCTAATAATTGAAGAAATGACTAAAGAAATTTTCCTGTTAATTGATGATTAGGAGCAGGCTTGTTAGAATGTTGTAACACAACAGCTGTGTTGATTTTTTTTTTTTTGTAAAGCTGGTTTTCAGATGGATATTTACAGTAGCCATTTGTGTTAACATTGAGATGTTTCTAGCCATGTAGTTCCTCATTATGATTCCTTTGAAAGGCTTTGCACTGATTCAGAAGGACACCTTTTACTGTAGTGTGACCTTAGGATGGTGTTTTCACATAAAAATGAGTTGGACCATGAGTCAGGACTTGTTTGTGAAGTGGTTGGGTGGAATGGACTTAAACCCTCACTGTACTCGAAGAATGACAGGAGGTGACTTTCTCACCATTTAAAGATGAGCAGCCACATTCAGTAATGGAGTTTCTTACCTCTCTGCAGAGAGACTTGAAATAAGATTCCCTTCCTGCTCTGAAGGAAGGAGGATTGTAAGCCAGGCAGTCAGTGTAGTCTTAAAATAAATGTGAATGAAAAATCAGAGGTCCTGACCTTAATGAGTCTGAATGTTACTCAGCTATACAAAGCCTAAAAGAGAAATTGAAAGGAAGTAAAACTGGAAAGGAAGAACCCAGATGTCTTTCCTGTTTCACAGAACTTGCGTACGAACCGGGGTGGAGTATGCAGGAGAATGGTACTGATAGCTGCTTTTCTGTCTTTCTCCTGTACTTTGCTCTCCCATTCAGATAGGTATTTACAGCACTGCAGGATTTCTGTCCGTTCTTATCTGGGAAAGCAGTGTTACCTTTTAAACCGGTGGAAATGCTATTGATCTAACATTACACTGAAGTTCTTTCATCTCTAGGTGTTCCGGTCATTTTATAAAAGGGATAAAAGTCTGTCTCCTCAGTTTTTGAAGGGAGATAAATGAAATACAGCATTATCATATTGCAGTTGACCTTCATAAGCTTAGACACAGCTAGGATAAGAATCTGGGCCTGTTCCTGGGATCAGTCCATTAAGAGGGAACTTTTCACTATCTTGCAGGTGTGATATATGTGTTTGTGGACATGAATAGCAACTAATGAATATTTATGCATATACTAATGAAGACCTACGTCTCTTTTTACATATGCACATGGGTATGGATTTGCAAGATACCAGTGTGGGTATGAGTAGACACAGGTCTGGGAAAACTGTGATATCTTGTCACTGTGCCACTTGGCACACACAGAGTGTACAAAGGCATACTTGCATAACAGTATTAAAAAACCTTCTCTTCCCTTCCCAGAAAGAGTCATGAACCATAGGGGTTTTTTAAGCATAACTACTACTTGGCCGAAAATCTTAATAAAAACCTCCTACTTCCTGTCTGTGGTGACTTTTTGAATGGGAACCACTGTTGTGTGACACTGTTTACGTCCTTAGGTAGACAACCTAGTAATGCTTCGGATGGGAAAGTGAATGGTGTTAGAGTGAACCTGGCAGCCCTTTTTAATATACTCTGCAATTTAAAATGTGGGTGGTTGGTGGTGAAGTTGGCAATTTCATTGGACTGCATGTTGGAAGTTATTTCTAGGGATGTATTCATTGAGTTCATTTGGTGACAAAGGTGTGTGTCGTCCATCCCCCTCGCCCCCCCCCCCCCCCCTCTGATCTGACAAAAGTTGGGGTTTAGTTACAGGAATGCTTCTGAAGTTTTATTTGCCTACCCACAGTGTTATTGAAGCCCCTCATTGATCCCTGTAGTGTTTCTGGAATTTCTGACTTACCTGATGGTCCCCATGAACCATTTCTGCTCCTTTTACCAAATTATGTTGTAGCAAGTGCCTCAGTATTTGATTTGGAAATATTTCTGTTGGTGCAACTATCATTCTGATGTAAATGTTGAAAGAGTGCTTATTTACGAGGGGGAACACAGACTCAGGTAAATTCTATGATTTTACTATGGACTCTTGATAATTTGAAAAATGGGAATACAGTGTTCTGCTCTCTTATTGTCTCTTTCTTGGTAGTCTTGTTTTTAAAAGGTATTTGGTATTTTAAAAGGTCTGTCTTAGCAGAGCTAGCCTGCTTCGCTTTTAACATTCATGGTGTCTTTTTTTAAACTGTTGTTTCAGCGTCTATTCTGTCATTTTTGTCTGAAAGTTTCTGTTGCTTATACTTCTAACTCTACCTCTGAAGCTGCCTATTCCTCAGGCCAATCCTGACTTATTAATTAGTTAGCTCCTTTTGTAGCTTTGTAACATTAAGCGCTCATTTTCAGGAAGCAGTGAAAGAACCATTCCTGGTTTTGTGACTGTTTAGTGGCTTTATCAATGTAATGCACACAGACGCTGGGTATTGAGTAAATTGTGATTCTTCCCCACAAACCTTCGAACTACTGCCTTTTAAAAAAGGTGATAACTATATGACTAATCAGTGCCTGAACTCCATGTAATTTTTTCTGTCTCCTCAGCGCAAACTGGAGCTCTATTGAAATTTGCAGTATGACAATTTTTGATATAATACTAGTTCTGGCAGCAGTCATACCTGCTGGTTTCTTATGTTGTCTTATTACTATAGGTGAAAAAATCCTGGAGGCAGGAAAGATCAATGCATGAGCTGTTTCATACAGTGGAAACTAGTGAATTAATAGGCAGTCCAATAACAGGAATTTCAGACTTTAACTGAATCGGAGTTGATATTTGAGGATCAATATGCACATGCTCACCCGTCTTGCAAGGTCATGAGTGATCCTGTCATTTGTATTGCACTATGCAGCATTCTGCTTCTGGTATGAGACAGTGTGTGCTGTATCTAGTTATGATGTTTCTCAGTGGTGGATTTCCTCCCTTGAAATCATTATGCTCTCGGGTATACTTTTTTTAATATTGACCAGTATGACTGCTGATGCTTTCTTCCCTATTTGATCCTGTGTGACTTTTTTTTCTGGTCACAGTGAGCTATTTGCTTCCA